AAAAAAACGATGCTAAAACAGTTAAACCATACAAGCATACACTGCTAGTCTGATACACACAAAAGTTAGATAGTAGAAGCTAGAAAGTAGAAACTAAAAATAAGAAAAAAAAAAAAGTACAAAAATTCAGAAAAATATACAGTCTAGGACACAACAGTCAACACTCAACACCAAGAGTCAAGCACTCAAGCATCTTCAACTCTTCATTCTTCAGTCATCATCATTAGAAGGAAATAAGGTAAGCCTCAACATATGAATCAGATTCGAGGCCATCATCAGAGTCATCTACCTCTTCAATATAACGCTCGTCCTCCTCTGTTTTTTCTGAATTTGCATCTTCCTCCTCTTCTTCTACCTCCCTCTTACTATGTGCAGATGAGGCCCTAGGAGTCTTGGCTGCTCTACCCTTTTCTATCTTTTTGTGTTCCTTGAACTTAAGGATTGTATAATCTCCTCCCTGGTAGCCTCAGGAACATTTTTACATGGGGCAACATCCCCCTTAATACCGACAAGGTGTTTTTTGAACCGGTAAATACCCCCATTAGTATCATTTCCACAATAATCACATTTAATACGATTTTTGTCATTCGAATACGGGCTATAACCATTCTTCTAACTTGGATCACCACTTTTAGAAGAACTTGGAGAAAATATTTCCATTAAAGTAGGCTCATTTTCATTTTTTTCTGGTTCTTCTAAATTCAAAAATTGCCTAATCAGTTAATACCTCCATTGGACTAGGCTCATATAGAAGAACTTGGAGAAGCAACATTCCCTTTAATACCGGCCAGATGTTTCTTGAATCGGTTAATACCCCCATTGGTATCTTTTTCACAAAAATTACATCCTATAGAATTTGTATCATTTGTTTTTGGGTTATGACCATGCTTCCAACCCGGATCACTTTTCTAGAGGAGCCAAAATAGATCTATTCAAATGATGCGGATTTTGTTCCTGTTTTTGTTTTACAGAACTCAAATATTGCTTAATCTCCTCTCTGATTGCTTCAGGAACGTTTTTACAAAGGGCAACATCCCCCTTAATACCGTCAAGATGTTTCTTAAATCGGTTTATGTCCCTTTTTGTATTTTTTTCACAATAATTGCATCTGATGCAATTTTTGTCATTCGGATTCAGGTTATATCAATATTTTCTATCCAGATCTCCACTTCGATTAGATTCTGAAGAAAACATGTCAAAATAAAACAAAGAAGCTAAAAAATAAAGTTTTGCACTTACTTTGATTGATTGAACTCCAAACTCCCACCTTGGAGATGTTTTTTGGTGCTAAAATATTCAAAAACACCGTCTAATAGGATTCAAAAACTCTAAAACTAAATCTAATCTACCTGGGTGATGTTTGGATCCATTTTCCATAACATTGAGAAGCACTTCGATCCAATAAAAATCACAAAATCTAGTTTTTTTGAGGTTTCTTTCTATCTAAAATGGGTTCTTGTGGGTTTAGGTTTCAAATGAACCTAAAACCCACCTTATAAAAGCTTTTATTTTTATTTGAAATACTCAATAGAATAAAAAAAACTCATTTCCGCCCCTAGGTGGGGCACAGGCCTTGGGTGGCCGCCCAAGGCTGGGTGATGGGCGGTCGCTCAGGGACTGCCGCCTAGTTTGGTCGCTTAGGCCTGGGTGCATATGAACCGCTTAGGCGTAGGGCGATCTGCTTTTTTGAACAATGCTTGATGTGATGCAGTTTTAATGGAAGCTAGTGAATCCTTGTTATTAATTTGTTATTCCCAGCCCTGGGCGGCCGCCCAGGGACTGCCTCCTAGTTTGGCCACTTAGGCTTGGGCGATGCGCCCAAGTCTTCTGGATCGCTTAGGCGCTTGGCAGTTTTTTGAACAATGCTTGACGTGATTAAGTTTTAATGGAAGCTAGCGAATCCTTGTTATCAATTTGTTATTCCATTGTGCTAAATAGATCTTGTTCAAAGATCATTGTTGAAAATTATTTCATTCCATTTTTATTTGTTATCATGATGCGGCATTGTTTGTAATGATGCACAATAGGACTCCAATTCCATCAACTTTTCTAGTCACGAATTTATTTCAGATTTGAGATTTTTTAGCCCGTCTTTTTAATTTATGCATTCTTAAATTTTGCGTCTATTCATAAAATTGAACTTGGATGTTAATAATATCTTGGAGAACATTATACCCGTATTTGGATGGGTTTGGTCTGACCTATGTTTTGACTCTGGTTAACTACATTGAGTTAACATCTTAGAAGTTTAAAACTGGTACCTCAAGTCCAATCCTCCTCATACCTTACCAAGTGAGTTGGCCATCTTATTAGCCTCAAGTGGTACATGAGGAGAGAGAAAGGTGCATGATATAATCGCTGAAAACCCACAGACATTTCTGCCACATGCCATGTAAGACATATTAGTTTCTTAGGGGGCTGAAAGAGTGTAAAACCAATTAGTTTTGATGGTTAGACTTAGGGAACATGAATGTGTGTGTGTGTGTGTGTGTGTGTGAGAGAGAGAGAGAGAGAGAGAGAGGATACTTTGTCAGGACGATTGATTCTGCAGATCTCTATTAGGGCTAACAATGGGTCGGTTGGCCATACCTGGTTGTCAGGTGTTCCATATGGTTACATCCTTATTAGCTTTATGGTGACTGCCAGTTTGGTTTAGGGGGCCTTTGATCTTTGGCTGCCCCTAGAGTTTCATGTTGCTTTAGCATCTTGGGGTGGGAACAGTAAAAGAAAATTGTGTACATGTTATAGTGTTACACTCGTGGTGGTATATTGTTGTTTGGGTGATGCAATTTTAGTGGGAAATTTTGCAATCTGCCGTGAAACAGTATGGAACTTGTTTTAAGACTTGTAGGTATAGGTTTTGCGACTTTTTAGCAGCAGGAATCATTTACAGCTTCTGTAATTGTAATTGTTCTTTTCTTTTAAAGTAAGTCCAAATCAACTCATCACTGTATGTAATTGCAGTTAACAACTTCAGAAAAAAAGAAAAAAAATCTCATCCCTGTATAATTAATGCTTGCTTTAATTCCTTACTTAGTTATTCAGTTTTTCAAGAGGTTTAATTCAGTCTAGTTACCCAGTAATGTGCGAGGCAATAACCAGTGGAATTAGATGATTTGATTCACTTCTAAATACAAGCTTGTAATTTTTTTTTATTACTGTAAATTTGCTACAACGTGTTTGGAAACCAAATTAAAGAATATTGTTTTCATGCCCCTATTTTAGAACTCAATGCTTTTATTATTTTTAATGTCTGTTGCATTATGACACATTAATTTATTTACAGTATTCATACCCATCATTGCAAGACATATTTGAACTATATATATATATATATATATATATACATATGGGAAAAGATTCTGTACGTACAGATTGAATTTGGGCCGATCTGACGATCACGGATGTCCGATAGTGTTGGAATTTTATTTTATTTTCTACAAATACAAATCACTTGAAATTTTAGGCTTGTGTTCTTCAAAAATAGGCGAATCTACAAAAAATATCAAAAGAAATATTTACATGAAATAAATTGACCAAAATACCCCCGAAAAGTTTCAGGGGGTATTTTGCTCAATTTTTTTTTCACGAATTTTTTGTTTTTATATTTTTATTAGGTGCGCATTGATGAGAATATCTAACG